TTGGTGGGAATGGATAGACCACTGGAGTTTCTTATTCTGTGTACTCTTTTTTGGTATTCCAGCCGATTCATTTATCATTCTCTTTTACACAAGAAGTCTATCTTTTTAGTTGTATTGTGCTATGTGTAAGTAATTTCTTTTTTCGGATGTGGTTCAATTAGAAAACTGGAAAGACTTACAACTTTGTTTTTCATTGACCTTTTTGCTCACTCTTGCTCATTATATCTATCATTATTTACGTGGTCGAGACGTACAACTAATATTAGTAAGGGCCTAGCTATAATTGTTACACATAAAGCGATTTCGCTTTTTACATACCACAAGTCCAGGCTATTTGCCAGATTTGATTTTTTTTTTTTACCAACTTTCATGCTGTGAAAGAGATATCCATTAGTTATGGTAACAATAAAAATGAGGTATGTCGAATGTTGTTGAAATATCCATAAATATTTCATGAACAATCATGTTGTCTTATGTCTAAAATTATATGACAAAATTAGATCCAGAGTTTCGGATAAGAAAACAAGCAGCTCCTTCTCCATTGCCTTGCTTGTGTATAGTATCAAATGCTACTAAATTCTAATTTATTCTGAAATTAAGTTGATTAATGGGTTGGTAAATAATTAGGGCTTATCTTCTTCTTCTTTCAGTTGCGCACGTGATTTAAGAATTTCTTGACGCTAAAATTAGGGCCTACTTCCAGAAGGTCCTTTTACCTTTTCAGCGTCCCCTCAAATATTTGGCTGCATAATCACACTTATAATAAAAGATTCTTGGTATTATTTTTTTTAATGGATTCATCGGGTTCAAGGTTTACCTCATGAATGTGACGATTCAGGCCGACCATTGATCAAACAATTACACATAACAAATAACTCTTTTCGATACAAAATATAAAGCGTGTGGGCCGGCTGTGCTAAGCACAGTCGGTAGGTTTCTAGTATATATTTATATATAGATTGAGAATTTTCCTTTAAAGACAATGGGGCGTTAAATGCTCGCCGCCTCTCTTGGCTCTACCCGATTCTTCACGAGAACGCTCAATTTCCGTGTTGTTAGGGTTTAGGATTTAAGCTTTTGTTCTTAAGTTCATCATTTTTAGAACTTCGACGGTCTCGATTGGGGAGGTGGGGCTCTACTTTCTGGAATAGGTTATCGTCTCGTTTTTTTATCCTGGTGGTGGGTCCGCGCTTTCGATTCTCGTCTACGGTGTTTTGGTGGACGTACCACTATTCTTATTCGAGCGAGCCAATTCTAGCCGGTTAGTAGGTTTTGACGTACCACTATTCTTATTTGAATTCGAATTCAAAATTTTCGACAACAAATCACGAATACCGAATTCGAATAACGATTCAAATGAAAAAATTTGATTTGTTCACATCCCTATTTGTACCCACTTTGTAGATCTTTCGTTTTGCGGGTGCTTGTGTCGCATTTAGAGAGTTTGTACCCTCTTGATAGCCTATATTTTTCCAGGGGTACTTCAGATTTTATTCTGATGTCAGTTGTGTGTAAACTTAAAATGTACTCTTTTGAGTTTTCAATTATCAAGATAATTATTAAAAAAACATGGACAAAAAAAAATGGCATGTACCCCACCCCCACTACTTAATTGGGTTTCAATACATATAGATAGGATATTAGTTTAATCTACCGAACACATTACATGAACTAATGGCGACAAATATACCAGAAATATACCCCACACCCGTAAGAAAATACATCATGTAGTAAATAAAAGGTATATTGTCCATTATACACACTTAATTATACACACTTAAAAGATACATACATAATCTGCTCCAACTCATGAAGCTAGGTCAATGTTCCACATTATTCAGGGAGAGATTGGATTGAAATAAAAATAGAATATGGTCCACATAAAAGAATTGAAAATAAATAAAAAGAGTGCAATCAGATTCAACTCTTGATTGTGATACAATAGAGGCAAACCCCCGAAGGCCTGATCTGAGATGTCCCCCATTCAGACCCAGGTCCCGCATCCGGGTCGTACATGAGCGTGCAATACCCCGGGTCTCCCTGCACTGAGAACAGCAGAAGCTTCTCATCCAATATCCCGAAGCAGAAACCGATGCTTGAGCTCCCCGTCAAAGGGACGGGCACGAGCTTCCAGGAATTATCTGCGGGTGTAAAGACCGCGAGACGCCGCTCGTTCTTCCACTCCATGCAGCACAGCCTGTCCCCAACCACTGCATGAGCTGTGACCATGACGCACCCCTTCTTCATCTGCACCCACGCACCCTTCCCGGGGCTGTACACCTCCACTGACCGTGAATTCCCAATCGTGAAGCTCGACCGCCCACCCATCACGTACACCCGCCCCTCGAACCCACACGCGAAGCAGCCCCAGCGCGGCCTGCGAAGGCCCTCGATAGGCGCCCATGCATTCGCATCCGGGTCGTACACCTCTGCACACGAGAGGGACTCTCCTTCTGCCCCGCAACCCCCGACTGCATACACCCGCCCGTCCACCTCAGCGCACGCAAAGTCATAGCGAGCCACATTCATGCTCGCCAGCTTGCTCCACCTGAGGTAA